GCTGCTGCAACTCTCTTCCCACTTCCTCTTTATCAATTTGTTCAATAGCCTCTTTAATTTCCCGATCAGCCCTAACGAAGTTTCATCCATTGTCGGAGCGAAGCTCCTTCAAGTGTCCCCTTCTATTGAGAAATCTCATCAGAACCAAGATGAAGTCATCTGTTTCCAGGGTCCCGGTAACTTCAAGATGGACGGCTCGAGAATTCATACATACAAAGATGGCTCCCCATCGCTTCCCTACAACCTTTCCCCTTCCTCTCTTCATGCAAAAAGGGCCAAAATAGTAAATTCCTGAATACGTAAACGGTGGCTCGTAGGTGGTCAGCCTAATCTTCGGTAATTCTGCCATTTCTAGAGTTATCCTTGGCGCCATTCGTTTCTTGCAGGATATACATCTCCCAATAACCTCCTTCACTACTGCTTTTCCTTTAATCACCCAGAATTGCTCTTGGAGAAGGTCAATACTTGCTCGACTTCACAATGTCCATTTCTCTCGTGCACATAGCGTATCAGAATTGTAGTGACATGGTGATTTTTTGGCTGGATCATAGGATTCACCGCATTAGGAGCTATAGGGGCTCTCGAAATCCAACCACCAACTCGCAAGACACCATCATCCATGATGACTGGTTTAAGCTTCACAATATTGCTTGATGCCTTCACTTCAGTTCGTGTGATCCTGAGCAGCACAAACAGTTCTCTACCCGGGGTGGGGCTTACTCTGTCTATCACCCGTTCCAGGTCTTCTTCCCGTGTCTTTCACAGTGACATTAGTTACAAAGGATGAAGTCCGGCTTGGATTTGGAGGGTCATTTGTTCCATTCGGTGGTTTCTTTCTGTTTGCTATTGTCTCTGTGGTTGTCATCGCAACAGCACCTGCAAATCCTGGGTCATTCTTAATTGCAGCTTGTCGTTTGACAAACTTGGCATGATCCTCCAGACCTGGATTCTGTCCCTTTTCTCTAATGGGATACGATACGCCAGCCCACTTGTTGATCAAGTAGTCGGGTAGTCTACCAGCTATTAACTTCATATTCGCAGTAGTGCTTTGTTCGCGTTCATAGTCCCCCTGTAATCTCTTGGTGGAACACTGGAGTTGTTCTACAAAGTTACGTAGACCCTTGAAATCTCTATTTTCCAGTTTTGATCCCACTGTCAACTCTTCAATGGAGGCAGCCGCGACCGTAGCTGATTGGCATAGCGATCTTCTAAATCTGCAACAATATCTTCATATGAGCACCCTGCAGATCTTGCTACAACATTATATGCTTCAGCTGTGACAAACTCCGGTAGAAATTCGATTTTCTGAGCATCAGACAAAAATCCATCTTCCAAATTGTCTCGAATCCTTCTTCTAACGACTGAAAAGTCTGCTGTACTTCCAATAAATTTTACCGGCTGCATCGCTTGAAGTGTTGTGACTCTCAACAAAACCGTCTGTGTTGAATTCGTGCCCAACTTTGGAGCAAATTCGACGGCTTCGGGGGTCAATCACTTAGTCTCCTGCTGACAGTTGGCAGCCCATTTGGCTTTTCGTTCTTGTTTTGTTAGTTGAGGTTCAAGAGAGAATCGCGGGTCACACTCATTCTTTACAACCGACGACCGAATTCTCTTTATTAGAGGGACTGTCATAATCCTCTAAAGCCAGTAAATCAACCTCCTTTTCTTCTAACTGAACTTTAAATCACATTTCTGTGGCAATTTCTGCTTCATACTGTGCTAAATCTAATGCCTGTTAAGCCATGAGTTTCTTTAATTCTACATTCTTCTTCATTTCCTTCAGTTTTGAAGATCTCAAAGATCTGGACGACTTTGACTTACTTGAGGTTATCAGTGACAATTTAGGCTCCCCACTAGAGGATTTTAAACTACTCCTTGAAGAGCGAGGTGAACTTGGGCGTAAATAACCTTCAACTGTCTTTACACATCGAGAGTAATCGTCTCCTCTGATCTGACAGGTCACACAGGTGAGTAGGTTCAAACCCCAGCAAAGCGAATTGAAAATAATAATTCTTTCTTCCTCGAATAAGTTAAAGAATAAATCAAAGAAATCGAAGTGATCTTGAGATATCTCGAACTAATTCGGCTTTCACTTCGTCAAACAGCCGAATAAAAACAAAAACTTGCAGACTTTGCGTACCTAATTTTGTCACGCTCCGCCGAAGTAATAAGATATTGTTCAACAATTAACAATATTGGGTAAAAAATGTTACAACATCAGTCTCTCACACCGATTGGTAATTTAATGCCCCTTCTTACTCGAAAAGTAAAATCTCACCTCAAAAAGAAATTCTTGAATACATGAGCTTCCATTTGATAGAAATGTCTGCCTTGAAGGTAACAAAAGTGAAGCTTTCCTCGTAACTCTGAAAAATAAGGCATTTTGAGGGTGAATTTTAGTGTTACCGTCTCCGATTGCAAAGCCATTTCCCCAATTTACCCCATTTTTCATTGCCACTGGTCTCCCAAAAACAATCCAAACCAACAGTGCTCAACAAAA